ATTTATTCGATCTTTTCAAGTAGAAAGCTGCGTTGATACTCGGAATACGGGGAAACCGCGGAAAGAGAAGAGGCGCGAGTTCCGGATTTTAACAAAAAAGGATCAGAAAAAGGATCAGATAGGAATCGACAAACAGCTCTTCCAAAGAGCGGATTATCTCGATTGATGCGTATACTTTCCTCGTCGCTGATTCTTCGGAAAAAGGAACAGAAAACTTCGAACCCCTCGAGCTCAACTCTCCCACTAACCACAACTTAGAATTACAAGTAAGCTACCTTGGTAAACTGAGTCTCAACTCCGAAGTCCTTTGCCATTGTTATATGAGAATCCAAATGAATCATTCCAAGAAAATTCAAGCATATTGGTGGAGTTAAACGACAAAGTAGGCTGCAATAGTGGTTTTATAGCAACTGTTCTGACAATGGGACGCTTTCCCAAACGTTGGAATCAATTCGTTTCCTAATTAAATTTTACAAAATAAAACTCGTAGCGATACAAAATAGTGAACCTACATTGCACTGAACAACAAACTATTCCCATCAGTATGACGATTCGGATCCAAGTGATAATACTGGTAAATTTTTAGACGGAAGACTGTGAAGTATGCACAAGAGCACAAGTAACAAATAATACACATTGCAACGAGCTGAAGTATTTTAGATGAATAAAAAAGTCAATCAAAGAAAAGACTACTGAAAAAAGGTCAGGAGAGGCCTGAGTGGACTTGTTGACATTTCTTTTCTGAAGAAAAACAAATCCATTAAGCACCTGAGTATACTTGTAGTGAAATCGCTTCGCTGCGTAGTCCACTATTATTCCAGCAGGTGTCAATGTTGGGTTTGTAGGCATCCAATCGAATGATTTATGAATGTAACATTCGTCTGATTAGGTATCATAATGGTCAATGGCCAAAAAGGCCAACAACACGGGAAAGTACCTGAATTTATTGTAAAAGCTTTTCGTTTTCAGCAAATTCTGTACGAAAAACAAATTATGAAATCACGTGGAGTGTGGACTAATATGAGGAGCGGGGACGTCGATCATTGATCCCATTTACCTTTCTAAAAATGGAGCAATCGTCAGCAGGCAGTCGTAATCCGCTATACAGCAAATCGTCAATAGGAAATCACTATTTATCAAGTAGTAATCACATTACGGCCTTCGAAGGGAAAGCAGGTGGATTAACGTATTTACAAAAAATGTTTAAGCATCAAAGTTATAAGAGTTTCCTTCCAGTGGCGTTGTTCAGTACTTTTCTTTATCTGACTGGTGTTCACGATTATCAGGTTCCCATCCCTGTCATTTTCTAACCCAATACGTTCGACATCTAACCCACCACAAACAGTCTAGCGGATTGAAGACAAACTATACACTCATCTCGCGAAGCCTGGTCGTTGTGCAGGGAAATGGGCCCACAGCTGCAGTAGCAAGCCACTTTCTCCGGTCACCAGTGCATTTGAACGAGACTGAATGGTACTGATGCCGGACGCCATCTCCGCACTTCGTCTCGCTGCCGCCTAGCTATAGTCAAGCGTTCCGCGTGTCTAAGCTCTCTCTCTCACTTCTGATTATTCACTACGGCCAGGAGGTGTTGCCCTGCGCGGAACCTCAGTACCAATGCAAGTGCTGGACCTGAACCTTAAGGACAGCACGTGGCAACAAAATTCGGGTACCTCTACCCTACAGTAATGTCACCGCATACCTTTGCGCGGGAAAATTGTTCAGCTACTGCAACTGCGGACCCCTACCTCGCACATGGCAAGGAAGAGGTGAGTGTACAATTTTTCTTCAAGGCTTTGTTGAAGATAAACATTACCTTACACAACGGACGCTGGGCATTGACCAACCAAAAGTATTGCAGTTTTTCGGGCAGGAAAGAGGACGAGTCCGATTCAAGTCGCCCAGTAATCTCTGCTTGGGCTACATCTTCAAGAAATAAGGCTTGTTTTATGAGGGATCTGAACAGTATTAGTTCAAAAACAAAACCCGAACGGATGACATTTGCACAATATAATTTGCAGTACTTGCTAATTCAACAGAGGCAAAAATTTAGAATTAATACCTCCACTGCGCTAAAGTTCGATGATGATACTGAATAGAAGAAATCACTTTTTTGTGTAGTCGAATCTGCAAAATGGAGGGTCATGTCAAGGACTTGTAATGAGCAACAGATGAACTTACCAGGTATTTGTCGTTTTTTACAGAGTTGAGATCAGCTGCATTGAGGCTACTAAACTCCATAGCATTGCGAGCAGGAAACAGTTCACTAATCACCTGAATCAAACATTTTTACTGTTGTTCGCAGTAAAGCAAGGGAGCGAATCTGCGACGTACCTCTTCTGGAAACTTCGACACAATTATTTGCGCCTTTTCTCTTGCTCCGTGTTCGTTCTTCAGAAGATTGAGAACTGCTCGAGTCTCTCTGAAGCACACCTATCTCTGCGATTCTATACAGAAAAACCTAATGAAAGTCTTCAATGTACCTACCTATAGGCCTCCTTTACGCTCTCTTCAGCTTCATTTTATCAAAGGACAATTTATTCAATGTACGGGGGGGCGGGGGGGGGGGGGGGGGGGGGGGGGGGGGGGGGGTGAAATAGTTTTATGAAGTCGATACTCTGGAAATGGGTTAAAAGTAGAAATGATTCACTCGAATAGCAATCATCTCAATCGAACCTCTGCTGCCCATGTGCCATAGGCTTCGCGGAAGCTCAACGAACCCATGTCAGGACGGAACAAGCGCAAGCAAAACAGACCCCGCCCATGGTGTTCGAAGGGGCAGATCATGTGTTCGAAGCGGAAACAAGAATAACTTTCAAGTGCTCTCTGAAGAGTACGCAATCAAGGATAATAATGAGATACAGCGAATAGTATCAAGCTGTTTCAAATCTGCGCAAAATAGGCAACTCACCTATTAATTACAACACCTTTTATGATGGCATAGATTAGAAGTAGTATGAAGACAATCATATATAGACCGTAGTATATAGCATTATTAAACAGTGCGGCTCGTAATTTGCCGGAGGTTTTGAAGTCACCAGCATTTACATAACTTTGCATGAACGGCAGTACAAGCCTGAATTGTGAGAGCGTTCATACTCTCGTCAGCGTTTTGAGCATACGGCAACATTATAAGCATGAGCGAACGGCAGCGTTTGAACATTTTGGGCAACTAGGAAAGCACAGGAATCGAACTAGCATTTTCAGCGTAGGCTCTTCATCGATAACTGAACTTTGAAGAAAACGCTACTGGACGCTTAAAACGCTGACGCGAAGTATGTACGCGCGATAATGGGTGGTAATCCAAAAGCACGGCAGAACATTAGGTTTGTTGGATCAACCACTTCCGATGGGATGAAACCCGTCAGAAAAAAATTGGAAAAATGGGTACGATGAGATATAGAATGAACTAATTTTAAAAAATCCCACAAAAGCGAGGTCAAGAAAGTCTTCGACTTCGGAAAGCAATTTTAGTCCTAGGCAATTTCTTTCGCCTAGGTTTTGAAACGCTGTTTCGCATCGATAGCGTTATGTAGCTCTTGGATACCTTTTACTTTGTAAGGATCCCTTCCAGTGATCGGCCGTGTTAGCTCGGTTTCCAGCAACCTTACGGGTCACATTACGTGCTACTTTCTGGATAAACTGCCCGTTACAAGCAGTTTTGAGGTTCGCTGCCGATGTCGAAGTTGGCCCAGTCCCTCTACTCTTGATCTATCACCTTTCGATTCACTATCAGGAATCTTCCTCAACCCGTACACTCCCTCCCCTTCGTCTCGAGCTTTTTATTCAGCGAGATGACCTGCCATTTGATCGCTGGTGATGGTTCTAAGATGCTCGGCAATTTCTGCTCGACGCGAGCCATTTCTCTCCAAATACTATGACCTTGTCGGGAGTCCTACTTTCTAGAACACTGCGTATTACAAGCAGTTCTGAGGTTCGCTGCAGATGTCGAATTTTCCTTGTGTCTCTATTTCTGGTCTCTATCACCTTCCGATTCACCATCAGGAATCTTCCTCAATCATTACATTCCCTTTTCGTCTCGAGCTTTCTATTCAGCGAGATGACTTGTCATTTGATCGCTGGTGATGGTTTTGAGATGCTAGGCAACATTTGCTCGACGTGAGCAATTTCTCCATAAACATGTCGGGATGTACTACTTCATGGAATGACTGCGTATTACAAGCAGTTTTGAGGTTCGCAGCAGATGTTGAATGTGGAATAGTGCCTTTATCCTGGTCCATGAACTTTTTTAATTTATGATCGGAAAATCCTCCCTGATTCCTAGATGCTTTTTCGTTTCACGCGTTCTATTTGGAGGGACGACCCACAGTTTTATCGTCGTTGCTGGTTTTGAAATGACAGGCACTTTTTTGACCCGTATCATTTCGTCTCAGATACTTCATCAACACTACGCGTGAACGATGATCATCCGAATGACACTGAAATCTTTCTCTTCGTATCATTCCCGGAAGATTGCTATCCATCCGTCCCTTTTGATTTTTGAGCTTTATAGTTTCGTGTCTTCCGTTTCTTGTTTTTTCGTGCTAAGTGTTTTCTGCATTTTTTCTACTTGTTTTTCCTACATGCTGTTTTCTTTCTGCATTTTGTACTTGTTTTTCTTACATTTGTTTTCTTGTTTCAGTTGAGAATTCAGTGAGATCTCAAATTCTGAATCGCATATCCCGCAGGCAAGGAAGGAAAACGGCTACTGTTCGCCTTGGGTGGAGGTGGAGGAGTGTTAAAGGCGAACCGAAGTTTTTGTAGTAAGAAATTTCCTTTTTACCAGCAAAAATTGGCTCACTCAATCCCGAACTCTATCCTCCACCAAACACCTCATCTCCATTCGATAGCACCAGTTTTGCCCGAGGAGTCATTTGAATGCCCCTTCCCCAAGGCGAACAACACCGGGAATTGCGTTGGGCCTACTTGGGACAATTGGTCAACAATTATAGCAGAAGCGTACAGACCAAGTAAGAATTTGTGCAGTCCAATATACTATCCTCCATAAGCAAAGAAGAACAGCATCAGGAACGTAGCCTCCAGGTTGTTCGCAGTAACTGGATTCTAAACCTGTTGTATTCAACGCCCGATCATGCTCAACTTCACACCTGTTGTAGAACGTCTGAAAAAGTAAACCAGGCTTTAGCAGTTACCAAAACCATGTCGTTCATTATAAAATCAATAAGTCAAAACATGAAAAGGCTTACAATCGCAACATCCAGCGGAAGTACGAAAATAATTATAAAGGAGAAGTACCAACCAATGAACGTTGACAGTGTGACGATAAATTGGTGACGACGCCAGTCAGCATACTGAAAAAATGTACTTTAGCAGTTATGATGCTACAATGTAGAAAGATGCACACTGTTCACTCAGTATACAAGAACAAGAATTTTTGATCATCGGGGAGGGGGCTGGGATAGACTGAATAGGACTGTTTCATGAACTTACCCTGTTCTCCAAGAGATCGTCAAGTCCGACAAGAAACAAGCTGGGTGTAATTTTCAGACATAGTATGGATAGCGAAGTGCAGACTGGTTTGCTTCGGATGGTGGGTCGTGTTCACGCGGCCCCGTTTGGCAAAAACCTTACCAGTTTCTTTTTTTGGCAAGCGGCAGGACTAAATCAAATCATTCGTATCTGCCACCAATCCGCTGACACAACGGTATAGGCACGGATTTGGCGGCGTGCCAAACGCTGCGCGGAAATGCCCCATCATCCGCAGCGAACAAGACTGCAGATCAGTGGAAATGGACATTGGGGCCCAAGTAATACGGTAATTTGTAGACCTGCATAGCGGACAGCGGCAAAAACAGGTACAGAAACAGATCTAGGAAGAAATACCAGTTAGAAACCACATTTTCCACACGACAACGACAATAATGCAAGAATGTTTGGCATTGTTCACCCATTATCGCCCATTTTTCGGAATTGAACCGGGTTTCGCCCATATTATCCCACAGATTTGGAGAAATACCCTTCAGGGTTAGTGTAACCCGTGAACATGGATACCACACTCGCTTGTTTTAGCCCACCTAGGGGGGCTGGATGCCAAATTTAGTCCGATACAGTTGTGCTCAAAGAGTCAAGCTATCCTTGA